TCATGCAGAGATTCAACAGACTATTTAAAAGTTAAGCCACCTACACTGCTGATTTCTTTTAAAGAATCTAGTGAGTTGATGTAGGTGGGAAGAAAAAAAACAAAAAACACCCATCTGCTGTTATTTTTGGGCTGCAGCAAGTTTGCTTAGTATCTGACCTATTAAAATAAAAAAAATCCATCGACCTAAAGGGAACTTGAGAATTATACAAGATACAGTACACACAGTTTTAACACTCAGATGTAAACAAATCCCACTTAGTCTTGGAATGTCCACTCACTATTTGAGGCATATGGTTACAAATTAGACATAGTAAAAGGAATCTGGATTTTGTGTATTAGATGTTTTAACTTCAAAGTCTAAATTTAGACAAATGCTTTTTGAAAAGTTAGTTTTTAAAAGATTTAGCCTTTACCTGAATGAAGTCAGAGTAACTTCAAATAGTCAAGATTTATTCAAATTGAGTCAACAGGTCTGTTCAGTTTAAGGCTTACAGAAGTAGGGCTGAGACTCTTCAGAAAAAAAAACCAACAGAGAATGGATGCGTCTATAGTATTGATCAGACAAGATAAGACAATACTAAAGAAACTTAAGAAAAATATTGAATCCAATTACTAGAAAAAAAGCACACAAAAAAAATCTGTTCAGACTGTTTTTAGAGAAGTCACTAGTTTACTTGGGATATACATTTAATCTTTTTTTAAATTATAAAATTTTAAATTAAAGGGGTTTTTTTAAAATGGAGCAAAATATGGAATTTCACAGAACACAATTGCATAAGCACACTTCAGTGGCTAGCATTAAAAATATTTTATGAAAATGATAGTAAATATTTGATATATTTGGAGAATTTCCATTCAGCTTTTAGCCTAATGGGGCTTTATCTTAAAAAAAAAATCCAAGACCCAAATGCTAAGCTACATATTACTTTGAAACAAATTTCAATGAATTTTAAAAGTGCTCAGTAACTTCTACTGCAGGACAATTTTTGTTCAGGTGAGTAAATTTCACTTCAGCATCATATAGAGAGGTACATTCTCTGGGTTTATGCTTCTGCATCTGTCACTTAGCCTACTGTGAACAGCATTATTCAATGCTTGCACAGTGGGCTGGCAAAAACAAAAACAAAACAAAAAACCACATATCCAAATTTGGTAAATCTTGCACTACATTTTAGCATCAGGCCGCACGGAAATTGCAGGATGGATCTTTTCTGTCAGGCCAACTGAGCCAGCTTCTTCAGTTTCCCCACATGTAGATTCCAAGTTGAGCTTTGGCTGGAATATTGTTTGCAAAGGCTGGTATGCTAGAATACATCTGATCCTCTTCTAGTATCACTGTAGCAAGCCTTGAAAGGTTTAAACACCAAGCTCTGCTCCCTGGAATTGTGCATTTGGCAAATGAAATGACTTTTCTGCTTGATGTAGTCATGCAACTCTAAACACAACTTGCCAGGGGTTGGGTTGTTGTTGTTTTGTGTGTGTGCGTGCGTAAGTAAACACTTTATGGCTAAATTCAATATAAAGTTCCAAAATTCAAGTACCGTCATGCACAATGTTGAGCTTTCACCTGCTCTGCTTTATTCATGGAGCATTTGTATTATTGCAGGTATGTCAGGCTACCTCTTTAATGTCACATGGGCAAAAGCTACAATATGCAAAAATCAATCATCAAAGAGATATAGCCCTTCATGTGTGGCACGTGGAGGACGACAGTAAGAAACCAAGCCTTCCACCTGGAGCGGGAACCAATACTGAGGATTTACCAGGAGACTGGAAGGACTGCTAATTACATCTACCTTTACTTACAGAAGGAAATGGGAATGCTACAAGGCCATCTTAATTTAAAAATGGCCCAACAATTTCAGAAGTGCTGTGTAAGTTACATGCACTCAACTCTGTGTGAAGATTGGTGCCTTACCCAGGCCAGGCAGAAGATACACAGGTTACCATTAAATGGTGCACATGTCAGGCTTTTTGGGAGGTAGTGTGCACACACGCTGTTCCTGGAGATGCATTGCAATGCTAGGTCATTGCATGGAGGCGGGGTGGGAGGAGGAAGAGGGGAGAGGAAATAGAGCAGGCTCCTACTCCACGCCCCAGTTTCAAAATTCTACTTAATTTAGGCCCTCTACCCAGGGACTATTTCAGATGTTGAGGAAGAACAGATACTATATTTATCTTAAATCACTTCTCAAACTTTTGGCTATTTCAGGTTCTCTGTATTCATACACAGCACTATCGCAAATCCAAAGCAAAACACTGGTTCAAGTATCACTTCTTTCCCCCAGGGCCGGCTCCAGGCACCAGCTTCTCAAGCAGGTGCTTGGGGCGGCCGTTCCGGACAGGGGCGGCAGTTCCAGGTATTCGGCGGCAATTCGGCGGACGGTCCCTCACTCCGCCTGGGAGTGAAGGACCTCCCGCGGAATTGCCGCCGCAGATCGCGATCGCGGCTTTTTTTAGATCGCGACTTTTTTTTTTTTTTTTGTTTTTGC